CAGCAGATTGGAGCTGGATACAGGAACATAAGGATTCAGGAATGCGCAGATCAGGATAAAAGGCAAAGTGATGGAGTCCTCCCAGGATACCAGCCATGGATGGAGAAAGCTTCACCATTGTGATCCCTCAGATTTATATTGAGTATGATGCATATGGGGTGGAATATTTTGGTCAATTTGGGTCATCTGTCTGGTCCGTTCCACCCCACAGAAGGGTTGCAGGTGTGACCCCTTTCCTTCCTTGTGTTTACGGAGCACAAGATCAGTCCCACAAGTAATCACTGACTGAAAAACATGCCATGAATGTCCACAAGTGATTTAGAAATTTAAAAGGCAGTTACATTGCAACCTTCACTACAATTAGGAAAAAGAAAAAAAAAAAAAAAAGCACAACAATATGTATGACAGAGCATATGCTGTGTAGTATCTAGTGAACTTCACAATACATTATAATTGACAGAAAAAGTAGCTTTTCAGAGACAATACTATGTTCTGAATAGTACACCATAATGGAATGTGGAAAAAAAAGGATTAAATTCATGTTATTATCATTCCTATGCATCCCTGGACAAGTCATTCAATCCTTCTATTGCTCAGTCATAATGGGTTTAAAATCTAGTCTCTAACTCTGTTCATCTGGTCCACACAAGACCAGATGGTAACTCATCTTGGCACAGAGCTACCAGTTACATAGACAGTTTATGTGAGCAAATGTGTACAAATGCAAATATAGATTACTGCTTACTAGACTATAAACTCCCTGGGGTTTAGGCTATATTTTTCTGTGTATCACTTTCTATGATCTATACAGATCACCACAATGAAGTCATCCTTGCCTTAAGGACTGGCTTTAGCACATTTCCAGTATTCTGGTCTTCAGAACTAGAACAGTCATACTTGTTGGGGTTTTTTTGTTTGGTTGGTTTTTGTTACATAGATGTTATATACATATTCTCCATTATTTTCTACATGCTAGTTAAGACTAGTTTCTAATGTTACCCCTCTAAGGACTTAATATATGTAGATACAGGTATTTGAGAGGAGATCCTAGAATGTGACTTGCCCCCCTTGATTTTAGTGTCATAATCACCAGCATGTATTAGACATTCATTTGCATTTTTTTCTGTTTACTTGAGTGCCCCAGAATATTAGTGAATTTGCCAAGAATATTATGTTGTGAATCTTAGAAATCAGGTATTTATGGGAAAGAATATAATCCTTGAGTTGGAAAGGTAACTGAGTGCCTGCAGGCTTTGATTAATGTCATTCCCTCAGGGCAAAAGAGCACTACTGCTTCTTGTCACAAGTATTTTACCAGGACTGCATAACTACACATTTCCACTGCTTTCTCTCAAGTGAATAATGACAGGAAGAGAGGAAATGGCCTGAAGCTGTGCCAGGGGAGATTTAGACTAGATATTAGAAAGAATTTCTTTACCAAAAGAGTGGTTGGACACTGGAACAGGCTGCCCAGGGAGGTGGTAAAGTCACCATTTCTGGAAGTATTTAAATAGTGCTTAAGGACATGATTTAAGCACTGAACGGGTAGATTAGGTTATGGTAGGTGGATTTATGTTATGGTTGGACATGATGATCTTCAAGATCCTTTCCAACCAGAATGATTCTATGATTTTATGATTCTATGATTTGCTATTAGACCTACTGTGAATCTTCCTCTTCCCTCCTTATAATTAATTTTTTGTTGTTGTGTGTGATAGAGAAATTGGGAAAGAAAGTCATTGAACTGAACATACTTATTCTCCTTTTCTTCTCTAGCATCTGAAGAATACTTAGCGTTTAAGCTTTAACACAAACAAGCTGATTCAAACTTATAAGCAACAGAAAAAGAGGAAATGGCCTAAGTAGTGCCAGGAGAGGTTCAGATTAAGGGTCTTTTCCAAACTAAATGATTCTTTGATTCTAATACTGTCTTCTCTTTTTGCCTGCTTCTCATACTCCTTAGCAATTAGCCTAAATCACACATATGACTCTTCTGCTCTCAGTAGCATCCCTGAGGCAGCAGAGCAGAGCTTCCAGGAGCTTTACCACCAACTGGAGAAGTTCCTTTTCCTGGGTGCACTTCCCACAGATGTGCTCACTGCTGCCCTCCAGTACTGGCATAAGAGCAGTGAGCGCCCTGCAGCCTGACATCTGGGCAGGCAAAGGCACAAGATGAGGTCCAACTAGGCAAGACTTTGAAAGTGTAATAAAAAAAAATGTCCTCAGTGGTGATAGGAAGACTTGCTTGGAATCACACCAAGAAAAAATACAATTTTCAAATAAAAAAAGCTGCCTAGTAGGCTGCACACTTTTGTAATCTACTGTGATCATGTTCCCTCTCTAGCTAAAATAACTCACTTTTTGATGTCTGCCTCCAGGGCTGCATTAAAAAGTGCCTACAATCTCGTTTGCAGAAGCTGACAGCGTTGGGTATTTAAGAATTCTGGGCCGTAAATGCAGAGTTGTCATGCCAAATGCATTGTTATACAACAGAGGATGCCACAACAAAAGCTACCAGCCAGAACTAAACCTGAACAGATTAAACTCAGAAAGAAGAAAATGCATTTAACAGTGTTTCAGAGCCAGATGAACTCCTGCAAAAGGAATGGGCTTCTTCCTCTCCTGATGTTTGCAGATTGTGACCTAGTATCTTTCTGTGTTATGTGTTAGTATGTGTTACAAAAACACTTTGTGTCACCGCACAGTGTTTGCTAGGCTACCTCAGGATCTGAAGTTTGTCAACATGGAACTGGTTTATTCTGCATCACAGTCAAGGCGTCCACATAACGTGGGGTGCCAGGGAACAGTAGCTCGTAGTATTATTGCTTGATTATTACTTCACATGGAAGGCAGACACCTTAAGAAATTATCCAAGCCCCTGACAAAGCTGCACTTTGCTGTAAGTGAATTCAGACTCTCCTGCCCTGCCACTCAACACAGTGGGAGAAAAACAATGGAATTTCGGTGTTCTAACAGACAGGGAGTCTTTAAAGTACCTGGTACCGGTCGACTGGCAATGCAAAATCCTTGTGAAAACTGCAAAGCCATATTTTAGGCCTCACGTGTGTGAGGTTTTCGACCCCTTTCTTTGACTCGATGGGGCGCCCCGTGCGCTTCTTACACCGCCCGCCCCACGGGCACTTGCCGGTGCCCCTTTAGCCCATCCCGCGCCCGGGGCACCGCCGGAGTCAGAGCGACCCACGGGGGCACGTGCGGCCATTTCCACCCGAGAGCACAGACAGACGGACGCGACCCGGACAGACCGACCCCCCGGGACCGCGCGGTGGGGGGCGGGGCCAGGCGGCGGGGGCGGG